AGGGTATTTTCGTAATTGGGGGGGCGGTGACTAGTAATAGGGGGGCGGTGGATAGCAATCCACTTCTTTTTATTAGTGATGTGGGGCCTATATTTATTGGATGAGGCAGCAGTAGGGCTGCAAACGAAACGAGCGGCTCGCGAACTGCTTGAGTCAAAGCTCGACTCGAGCTCGAGCCCATATGTTGTCTTGTCGAGCAGCTCGAGATACATGTTAAATTACTAAAATACCCCTTATATATGTTGGCATAGGTCCTTAATGGTAATTTCACCTTTCCACTTAATAATTTTCGAGTCGAGCTCAAGCTATTGTAATTTTTTATCGAGTCGAGCTCGAGCCTAAAAAATCTAGCTCGACGAGCTCGAGCTCGAGCAACTAAAAAAAAGTCAATCCTACTCGATAAGGCCAATGCTCGACTCGACTCGTTTGCAGCTCTAGACAGCATAATCATTATGTTGGTCGACTTGTATCGTCATATTTAAAAATATGTATATTTGTTGTGACCATTTAGGGCTGCAAACGAGGCGGCTCACGAGCCGCTCGAGTCAAAGCTTGACTCGAGCTCGAGTTTGATCGAACTCGAGCCCATAATTTGCATTGTCGAGCGGTTCGTCGAGCAGCTCAATATATATTAGATTACTAAAATACCCTTATATATATATTGAAAAAGTCTTAATGGTAATTTCACTTAAAAATTTTCAGCCGAACTTGAGTTTTTCTTATCGAGTCGAGCTCGAGCAGCTAAAAAAATCAATTCTGCTTAATAAGATCAATACTCGACTCGACCAGGCTCGTTTGTAGTTGTAGTGACCATTAGACGCGCATAATAATAACCTTTCTATGACTCGATTAGGCTCGTTTGCCCCTTGTGAAATCGAAATAGTCCTCTATGAGTTTGAGAAAAAAGTTTTCGTCCTATCTGGTGAATCTTGTTATTGTATCTATTTTTGTATATTTTTGCCATTATATTTTAGATTTGTGTTTTTTCATTTTCTTATGTGAGGATTAATGATGTCGTAGATGAAAGGACTATATAGTAATTTCAGAACATAAGCCCATCACATAAGAGATTACCAAGAACTAATTCCAGCAAAAGAATCCAACAAAAGGATATTCATTCATTTCTGCCGAATTATACAAAAATAACATTGAGACTATTGCTTTAATTGATGGATAAAAATAATAAATTTGACAAAATAGGAAAATTTATTAGACACAAAAACCCCAAATTTTCAAATACTGGACAAAGAACAACTACATTTACATACTCACTCCAAATTCTAACATAACCTGAAAAAGTGAGGTGATAAAAAAACAAACTAAAAAAGAAAAAAAAAATGTTAAGTCAGTCAAACTGATCATAAACTTGGTAAAATTCAATCCATCAGCCAGCATTCCTTTTTATGATTTCAAACAAAGGGAAGAAGAAGAAACATTCTATTCAAACATTCATCGGAAACTAACTGGCTCCTCCACAGCTTTTTAGTAAAAAGAAAACATCGAAATATAAAAGCAAGCAAACGAACGAACTAGAAAAGAGAAAAAAAAAAAAACCCGATCATTAATACCCGGTACCATCCAAGTTTAAGCCATTTCCTTTCATTTTCTTCACTTCCTGGCTAGAACATATGAAAATCCTCCGAACCATGCTGCAAAATTCGCTGCAAGAAGATGTTTCGCTAAGTCAAATGCTTGAACTCACAGATTGGTCCACCATATGAGGAGAAAGAAAAAAAAAATTAAAATAAAATGAAAATCAATCAAAAATAAATGAGAGTACTTACAGCCATGGATCATCGCCCATAAGCATCATATCCCCTTCATCGTCGGTGAAAACTAATTCCCATTTGTTTCTAGGCATAAGCTCCCCTTTAATTTCGAACATTTCTTCAAGTTCGGTTATAAGCTCATTGTAGCCCTTTAAGGCTGCCAAGTCCACCGCACGACCAACCGCTACTCCTTGCATTTGTACCTTTTCAAGAACCAATTATAAAAAAAAAATACAATTGGTTTATATAACAAAAAGTAACCATATAAAGTTTGTATTTTTTCACTTAGTACTATTTTCAATACATTAAAAACAATATTTTTCAAGAATGATATCAAATTTACCTTGGTTCGACTTATTATCAAATATTCAATTGGTTATATGATAAAATGCAACCATATGAAGTTTGCATTTTGTCACTTAGTACTATTTTCAATACATTAAAACAATATTTTTCAAGAAAGACATCAAAATTTACCTTGGTTCGACTTATTATCAAATATTCAATTGGTTATATAAGAAAAAGTAACCATATAAAGTTTGTATTTTGTCACTTAGTACAATTTTCAACACATTAAAACAATATTTTTCAAGAAAGACATCAAATATACCTTGGTTCGACTTATTATCAAATATTCAATTGGTTATATGACAAAAAGTAACCATGTAAAGTTTGTATTTCGTCACTTAGTACAATTTTCAACACATTAAAACAATATTTTTCAAGAAAGACATCAAATATACCTTGGTTCGACTTATTATCAAATATTCAATTGATTATATAACAAAAAGTAACCATATAAAGTTTGTATTTTGTCACTTAGTACAATTTTCAACACATTGAAACAATATTTTGCAAGAAAGACTTCAAGTTTACCTTGGTTCGACTTCTGGACGAATGGCCATGCCGACTCTGAACCTCTTTTGTCGTTACGTGTAATTGGCCTTTCGAGTCGTACAAAACACTAGATTTATTCTCCGAATCACCATCTTGTGGCATGTTATCACTCGATATCATAGAAGAATCTTCACAAAGAGGCACGGACGAGGGACTGTTCAAGTCGATCCCGAATAATCGACATGACACAAATTTATCTGATTTTTTCTCGTTTAGGCCAGATAAAGGATTTTTTCCAGAGCTCGGAGCCGTATGGTTTGACATAACAGACCAAGCTGATGCACTTTTGCTCTCTTGTGTTTCCTCACCGTCCGTTTGTTTAGCATGTGAATTAGTTACGTGATTGCTCGATTGTCTATTTTGACCAAGATTCAATTGGTTCGAGTCGTGTGGAAGATTCCAGGCAGCTGAAGATAACAAACAAAGACTGTGTTTTAGTCATAATAATAATAATAATAATAACAATAATAATAATCTCTCATGATACTTATTGGTTACTCCCTTCGGCTGGTTGCAATTGTAATTAACTCAGAATATATTTGGTTAGCCAATAACTAACCAGAGTTTGGGATATCGATATGAGGCCGGGCTCTTTTATTCTTTGTTGCTGGTGGTGTAATAAGTCCAGCTGGCACTGAAGGCACAAATGGTTCGATTTCCCAAGGCGAAACCCTTTCGGGTCTTGAAACTGAAGCAGGTTCATCCCATTGGACCTAGAAATGTAAGAAAAATTGAAAAAAAAAAAAAAAAAGGCATCTCAATAATTTGCAACAGTAACATAAGATGGCCAAAAATCGGTTAGATTTCGAGCGCGCATACTACTGACCTTTAATGACCGCCATTTAGAATCTTCCCAATTAGGAGAAATATCTTCCACCCCAACAATTGTACCTGAAAACCTGATTTTCACGACAAATGGTTAAAAAAAAGGAGAAAGATTATATCAGGCAAATCATTATCTAAACGTAACGTAACACCGACAAACCTTCTCTCCGGCGAATCTTCCCCCTCAAAACACATCTTGAATCTCATGCCCACTCCAAACTCGTGGCTCACAGCTTCTAAGTACTTGTTAAGTCCTACGATGAACTGTCTCATCCTTAAAAAAAAAAGGCAATTAAATGGATATCATATCAATCCAAGAAAAACTCTTCCCGGGAACATTTCATTCGGGTCGCAGAAAATAAATGTTCAAAATATATCAAACCTCGGTTTGTAATAAACAACGAAAAGGGTCTGAGTCGAAACAGCATGAGAAGCAGTTGCAAGCACCCCAAGGTGCATGCTATGACTCGAAATAACAGATGTCGGCATTATACTCGGTTGAAGGGCGTGGCGCCTCACACCAACTCGTAATTCCTCATTCTCTCCTCTTAAAGAGAGACAAAAAAAAGGGAAAATAAAAAAGCATTCGATGATTTATATAAAGGAACAAGATTTTGATGAATATCATACCTTAGAAATACGAAACTGTCCCCAGCAACTAATCTCTTAGAGGTGACAAATGTGCTCCATCCTGTTGTCAGTAAATGCCTCCGAGGCTGACCTGCTCATTTTACATCTAATACTTATCAATGGCTCGTATTTATCACACTCAACTAATATCATAACTCACATCTCGGTGATCAACCATATTTATTATTTATGGATAATAAAAAAGAACCACTAGAGATTTTTAGCTAAAATATACTTCGAAAGTTAATCTCTTATGTATTGCATTTAAGTAGCAATGCCTTCCTTTCGATAATGCACCAAGGGGAAGATCGAAAGTTACCTCTAAATATGTGCTTAAAATGCCATTTGATCCCATGCAGATCCTTTGCAACCAGTTCTTGAGACGGCGTGGACTGAGTCATATCCTAGATCAACCAAAGACCTTGATGTCAAAACAGGCAAATGCAAAATATATATACATATATATGACAAAATTTGGAAAATTAACAAACAAAGAAGAAAAAGTGTTCGTACCAAAGGAGGAAGGCATTCATTCGCGTGTTTCCGGAGGACTGAGAATCCACCATGTGTGCTTGTGTCAGAGGCTGTCAAAACCTTGCAAAACGAGTGAACCACGGGCCTAGCGGGCTCATCAGGGCACTCATCCGGGCTTCTTGGCTCGGATTGCTACAAATAATGTTACAGTAAAAGTTTAAAATTTTTCCTCAATTAAATAGAAAGAAAATGCCAGCTTGATTGCAACCTGGGAATTAATTAACATCAAATAAAAAGCAAGAATTGCTCAATGAATTCTTACATCTGCTTCTGGCATCAAAGTGATTTGTGCATACACTTCATCAGTGTCTTGTTCAGCCTACACGAGAAATCAAATTTCAACTAATTCAACTAAATTACAACATAATCGACAAAATTAACATAGAACTACCCAATCTACCTGCACTTACAACAACCAAGCGTAAAGACAAAGTAAGAGGGAGGGAGAGAGAGAGAGAGAGAGAGAGAGAGAGAGAGAGAGAGAGAGAGTAAACCAGTAGCTGAGTGTTGAAAACACGGCAGAGGATCTTTGAGGGCAGATTGAATAATGGTATCCTCTGATTCAGTTCTTCATTTGTCGAAGCTTCCAACTTGCCAACCATAAAAAAGGGCAGACAGAAAACATCAAATGGAATTTTTCAACCATAGAAATTAATGAACTTTTTCAACTCAAGCCCCATGAATCCAAACAAAGATCTAAAGCAAACCCACAACACAAAATCATTTCGCCCTATACATGAAGCAAAATTTGAATTTCAAACAGAATCTTCTTACTTGTTCCATATGACCCTGTGGAAAATAATACACTCTTTCCCCAGCTCTTGGAGCATCCACCAAAGGGCCTGCACAGTCCTTCCACAATTCCTCATACAACACATCTCTCTCCCCAACCCCTAACAGATTTACATAAAAAAAGATGAGTAATTTATTTCCAAAATCATCAAAATATTACCAAAAAAAGAAAAAAGAAATGAACTTTTGCTGCAGAAGTTGACCTTCAGCTTGAAAACTGCTGTGCTGCTGAGTAAACGACCCTTTACTCGCCATGGAAACGCAGATTTTGCTTCTCTTTTCGGACACCCAAAACAAACACAAAAACAAATCCAATTTTTCGACGCTCAAACAAAGCCCATCTATATATATATTAAACTGAAGCAGCTGGCTCAAATCGCTTTTAATGCTTATCATAAATTATTGTAATATGTTGTCTGATATTGAATACTACAACAGACATTAACTCATGAAGTAAAATAAAATAATTCATAATGACATAAAAAAATTGATTCATGTATATACAATTCAAAGCTGACGAGACCAAATAACTAGATAGCTTTAAAAGTATGTATATACATTAAAAAGCAGTCAACATCAACATTCAAGTAAACTCTTTCTTTTTTACCCTGACACCACCACACCAGTGAACATTCAACCAAGATTTTAGTTTTCCCCATTCAAGTAACTACACTGAGTATGACCCGAATTTCACAAGAGAAGTGA